TTATGGGGCTCAAAAATATATATTTTTTTATTTTATAAAGGATTAAGTAGAGCTTAGACCAACTCAAAAGCAAAATTCTTTAAGAAACCAAAGGCTGAGAACATCCCTTATTCAAAAGTGAAATTCCATTGTCAAGGAAATCACTAATACCAACTATCAAGGGAAAATGTCTCGTTTCTATTGCAGGATCAGCTAAAGTGAAACTGCTTCTTTAGTTGCTAGGAAACAACCAACTCATTATATGCCATTATCACAGCCCTAAAGAAGAAAACTGGCATCTGCTTCACATTTGGGGATACTGAAGATTGAACTAAAAGCACTGAAACTGCTGCCAAAATCCCTGGTCTCCAGGGTCGACACTAAGGCCACAGCAGGTGCTAACATCAAACTAGCCTTTGAAGTTTTCCTTTCGATGGCCCTAATAAATAAAATTACCTTTTTCAATATCTCACATTTTCAAAACAAAAATTCTAAGAAAAGACTTCCTTGCTTGAGATAAATTATATCTATGTTGAACTCAACTCAAGAGAAAAATAATACTACTTAGGAACCTTAATAATAGAAAAATTTAAAACTACTAGTTATTCATTGAGTGAAAGGCACTAGAAGGTACTAGAAGTTTGTGACTAAAGTTGAAATAGAAAATAAAGGGAAATTGTTTCCAATGTCAAGAGAAGAAAAGGGGAAAAGGGGACACATACTGATAAATCCAGCACTCAACTCAATGACATTCTAACATTTTTTTGCTGATTTTCCTAATTGATTCTGAAGTTTAACTTCTATTTTTACATCTTGACATACTTTTTAAAAAATACATCATAAAATACATTCATGAACACATATTTATTCATCAATCTTATCCCTTCTTTCTAGCAGATAAGGAGGAAGCGGGTGTGGTAAAATTGTGCAGTTGAATTACTAAATGGTGGTAAGCTGAAACCAAGAGAATCTTTATACTACTCCTTCTACATCCTGAAAAATAAGTTATCCATTAGAAGCTACAGATGTTGGTAAAGCAGTTGACAAACCATTGTCCTTCACTATATTAATTAAATCAATCAATGTAAAGTACCACATTAACAGAATAAAGGAGAAAATCTCTATGTTCATTTCAATAAATGGAGAAGGAAGCACCTAACAAAATTCAACATTCATTATCAATAAAACTTGTCAGCAAATAATTAAAACAGGAAGGAACTTCCACAACCTGATAGAGGGCAGCAGTGATTCTTAATAATAAAATATTTAATGTTCCCCCCAACTAACAGCAGGATGAAGGAAAGAATGAGTTACTCTTATCTTTTCTGGTCAACATTATATTGGCAAAATTAACCAGTGCAATGAAATGACCAGAAAATGAAGTGAAAAGGAATACATTGGAAAGGAAAAATGAAGCTGTCTACTTGCCTGCAACATCAACATATATATACAAGACAGTAAGAAAGCTGCTAAACAACTACTAAAATATAGAAATTTTAGTAAAGTCAGAGAATTCAAGGTTAGCACATAAAAATCAATAGTATGTATTTCTGCATGTTAGCAGGAAACAATTTGAAATTAAATACAAAAAACAATTACATTTACAAGACTGTCAAAATAAAATACATACTGGATAAATCTAACAAAAAATAAAAGAGTTATACACTGAAAACTATAATACATTAGTCAAAAAAGTTAAAGAAAATTTAAATAAATGTAGAAATATACCAAGGTGATGAATTAGAAAACAATATTATCAGGCTCTCAATTCACCCAAAATTGTTCTATACATTGAATACCATCCTAACAAAAACATCCTTATGCTTTTCTGAACAAACTAAAAAGATAAATCTAAAATTTATATCAAAATGTAAAAGAACCTAGAGCAGCCAAAACAATCTTGAAAACTAACAAAGTTGGAAGGCCCACATTTCCTGATTTTAACCCTTCTATAAAGCTGCAATAATCAAGACAGTATCTTTTTATTGTAAGAATTAAGCAAATAGATTAAAGGAACACAACTCAGTATCCAGAGACAGACCATACACATATAGTCAATTTTCTTTTAATTTAGCAAATTAATTCAATAAGGAATGAAAGTTTTCAAACAAATGGTGCTAAAAGAACTGGGTAAACAATGAAAAATGATAAACTTTGACCTTTATCTCACTACATACATAAAAGTTAATTCAAGATGTACAAGCCAAAATTATAAAGCTTAGTGAGACGTTCCTTACAACCTTAGAGTAGGCAAACAAATATTTCTTAAAAGGAATACAAAAAGCACTTAGTATTAAAAGAATTAATAAACTCAAATTCATTAAAATTTAAAACTTAAGCCCCAAAAGGCAAGCCACAGACTGGGATAAATGCTCCCAATACATGTATCTGACAATGGACTCATGCACAGAATACAATTACAACAAGAAAAATGAGCCAATTTTGAAAATGAGTAAAAGACTTGAACAGAGGCATCACAAAAGAAAATATAGCAAGATCTAATACTCACATGAAAAGTAACTCAAAATCTTTGACCATCAGGGAAATGCAAACTAAAACCATAATAAGATACAATTTTGTATCTACTAGAATGGTTAAAATTAAACACTAAATGTGGGCAAAGAAGTGAAGTAACTAACTGGAGCTCTTATGAACACTTGTAAAAGTATTCATAGCAATATTATTCACAGTGGTAGAAAAACTGATAGCAACCCATTTTTTTCTTGACAATTAACAAGAAAACAATAAATGATATTCTGTGAAAAAGGGGACCCAAGTCCTAATATAATGCAACAACACAAAGCTAAAGTTCAAAAGCCTTGGACTAAGTGAAAGAAACCAAATATAAAAGGCTACATTTTCTATGATTCTATTTAATGGAAGTTTAAGAACAAGTATAACTCATTTATCGTTATAGAAATCAAACAATGATTGACAATAAGTGTGGCATTGAATAAAATGGGGCCCAAGGAGACTCTGGAATGGAAATGTTCTCTATCTTGACTGGGGTGTGTGTGTGTGTGTGTGTGTGTGTGTGTGTGTGTGTTTATGAGAAATCACTAAATTATATAACCTTAAAATCTACGCATCATACAATATACATTATTTTAGCTCAATAAAATATAGTTGGGGCGAGAAGAAAAATCAAAACAATTTAAAATCAGACTTATAGTTCAAGATGGCAGATTGACCACAATATTTATTTTCTCCCTAAAAATAGTTATTAAGAGGAAACATGAGAAGAGGTTCTCAGGCACTGGTACTATTCCATACATCTTGCTCTGAATGATTATCCATGCGTTTTCACTCTGGGACAATTTGCCGATTTGTATACTTATAATTGCATATATTTCTGTGTACATGTTATATTCAATTTTTTTTAAACAGCCAATGAATCAGGTAACCTCTATAATCCACTGCTATACAGAACTTCTACCCAACTAATACATTTTCACAAAGGATGTTAAACATATCAAATGTTGGTGTGGTTTCTTAAAAAAAAAAAAAAGCAAAAACACTCATTATTCAAGCAGCTCAGATTATCAGCATTTCAGTACCCATCAAAATGTACAAATGAAAGTGACTTTACAGAAGACTGTAAGGTAGACATGCAGTCCATTCACTACTGTAGGTAACTTCTAAACATACCAATAAAATAAGATACAGATCAATTTTTTTACTTTATCTTTCATTCATCCTGATACTCTGTAGTATGTTTGCTGAAAAGCTATCTTCCCTGCTTATCAGAATAAACTGTAACTTTTATAGGATTTATGTGTCAGAGTTTGTTTTCACCAAATCTCTGTTTGGTCTTCTCTTAGACTACCAAATTCCCTATACATTTTTTAAGCTGAGCTTTGAGAAACGTTGAGAAGAATAATAAGCAAAATCAGATAACTGAAGCATAAAGATGACAGCTAAATTCAGATTTCAAAAATATATAAGGCAGGCAATTAAGAAATCATTATATATTCTCTGACAGTAAAGAGAGGCTGGATTAATCCAGACAAATGAAGGTCACAGGCACAAAAGAATTGCTGAGGATGAGGTGTTTGGGGGAGTAACTGAATAAACTACTACAGGATCTGAGTATAAAAATAACAGACAAGCCAAGTGACTTAGAGAATAAAAGGAACATGGGACCAAAAATCTAAGAGTACATTCATCAGAAATCAATCAACAGAAGTAGTAGATAGACAAGACATTATAGTGAAAAAAGAAGAGTTTCAGGGTTCAAGACTTCATCTAGTCACATGTGCATCTTAAAATAAATAAAAGAATATCTACCATTAGAATTGTCAACTTACAACATAATACCTGACCCAAACTAGAATCTGAATAAATAAGGGATAATTCTTATGAATTGATGAAATAAATGCAAGTTACTCTTAATGTTCACCAAGAACACAATCATAAACTCTTATGTATGAAGAAAAAATAAGCAAATAGTAAATAAAATATAGCCCACTGATATTTTTAATTATCTAATCAAATGTTCTCTTACTTTCGAGTTGACTGGACAATATTATATATGCAAATATATAACCATATGTACTCAAAGTAAAACAAAATTTCACTTTTTTCTGAAGCAATTTTAAATCACAAGTATCATGGTTAATTTAATTTCTTACTATATCTGGAAAATTTCTACACTACACTTATAATTTAATATTAGCACAGTGATATTAACCATAAAACATAAAGACGACAGATTACTTATAAAACAGATTTGCTCTTCTCACAGCAGACATAATAAGGCAACAAAACTATATTAATTAAGACATTAAGATTTTTAGTGCTCATAAGCAATGGGAAAGATTAAATCATGTAATAGTGAAATTTGGTCTTGGAGCCACATAACTCATTAGATGATATTACTCATTATGCAGTTGTCCCATCCACTGATTCTCTTAGAAAACAACTCAAATCTGACTGCAAATTTCAACAATTCACTTATCAGAAAATGCAGAAAATGTTCAGCTTTGCCAACGATAAAATGATATTTAATGCAATCATCTTACCTGCCTCAATAATTTTTCAATGGCTGACATCACCATAAGGCCTCTCCAAACAACTGGCGCAGTCTCATCAACCAAGAAGCCCATGGACATACTGCAACAGTAATCCAAAAATACAACTAATTGGAATAAATTAATCAATATTATTCTTAAAAATAAAGTAAAGTAAAAATATATGCTCACCAAGCAATACCATAATTCAAAAGAGGCCTCATTAGGTTATCTGAAATAAGGAAAAAAAGAACTCTTTTTTAGGATATAAAAAACATTGATCATAAACATACTAACATTTTTGGCCTTTAAAAAAAATTACTATTTTTTCATTGACAAAAATTGCATATATTTATAGATATAATGTGAAGTTATAATACACATATACATTGTAGAATGATTAAATCTACACATCCATCATTTCACCTACCTATACCATCTTTGCAGTAAGAATATTTAAAATCTACTCTTTTAGTAATTTTGAAATATACTTGCAATACCTGATTATTAGCAATAGCTAATATATTGTGAAATAAATGACTAGAACATATTTCTCCTGTCCAACTGAAAATTTGCACCCTTTGACCAACAGCTCCCCTTTCCCCATCATCCCTCCAGCCTTTTATCAAAGAATGTCCAGTTAGAAATATACGTAGATGCCTCATACTGCCACAATATAACTTCCAACTAATTCATCTCAATCTGCAACAGTTTAAACATTATACCAAGCATATTGCTCATATTCCAAATAGATGCAACACCTAAAAATAGTTGAGGTGCAGTTTTATTAAGAAATAATAAATCTAGGCGGCGCCAGTGACTCAAATGAGTAGGGCACTGGCCCCATATAGCAGACGGAGGTGGCGGGTTCAAACCTAGCCCCAGCCAAAAACTGCAAAAAAAAAAAAAAAGAAATTTAAGATATGTTTCTTTAAAGAGGCTTTAAAGAATTTTAAGATATGTTTCTTTAAAGAGGGCTTCAGTAAGTAGCTTGCCCACCAATTTTATTCAAATAGATATATAAATAAATATATAAATTACATACATATGTTCATCTAATATGTATATAAATGTATGTGTATATCTGCATACACACATCAATTCTTCCTACACTGGAGTATTACTTTTCTTTTTCTTTACTTAAATAGCACAATTCACAATTGCAAAGATATGGAACCAACCTAAGTGCCCACCAATGGATGAGAGGACAAAGAAAATATGAGGCATATGTATGCACATACATACACACACAAACACACAATAGAATAACATTCACCCATCACAAAGAATGAAATCATGTCATATACAGCAACTTGAATGAACTGGAGGCTGTTATTCTAAGTGAAGTAACCCAGGAACAGAAAACCAAATACCACATGTTCTCACTTACAAGTAGGAGCTAAGCAATGAGTGGGCCATACAGACATTCAGAAGGGAGAGGACATGAGGGGAGTATTGGGTACATTGTACACTATTCAAATGAAGGGTATATTAAAAGCCTACACTTCTCTATTATGAAATTCAGTCAAGTAACATCTAAGTAAATAAAAGTACCATAAAACATAGTTTATCAAACTATCTAGCAACTATCTAGCAAACTATCTTTCAAACTGTAGTTTGAAACCCTTTTAATTAATGCGATTTGGACAAGTACTAAGCTTAAAATTTAGAGGAAAAAATCATAAAAACCTAGCAGTATTATATACTCAGATTTTACCACTTTTCCTCTACAGAGAGACTGAAACTAAAAGCTGTATATAAAGCATAGAGGCATGGCTTACAAAATAAATTCACTGCTGATCTCTAGTCATTTGAATACTTACAGAAAGAAAAGACCATGGTCCTTCATAAAAAGATTAGTGAATGAGCGTACTTTTCTAGTTTCCTTCTTTAACTTCTGACTAAACTAATTAGCTCAATTTCTCCATACCTAATTTTGAAAGCAGTATTTTTCTTCCATATAATTTTGTCGATTCTTTCCAAAGCAGCCAACTTAAATTTCAGAGTAATAATTTTTCTCTATCATGGTCTGTACTACTTTTTACTTGCTATTTTCTTTGGGTATATGTACATAAAGATTAAAGAATTTGAATTATCATATACTTTTCCACTTTTGATCTGCTAAAACAGTGAGTTACATTAACAGATTTTTCCTAATGTTGAACCAAATTTGCTTCCCTCGTTTAAAGTCAATTTAATCATAATATAGTTATTTTATACAATGCTTAAATTGGTTTGTTAATATTTGCATAAAGTTTTTTACATAGTTAACTAGGGAGACTGGTCTATAATGCCCCCATTTCATGCTATCCTTCTAAGGTTTTACTATCTTCAGAAGTTTAGTTGAGAAATATCACATACTTTCCTAGCCTATGAGTGAGTTTTTATAAGACTGGAATGATTAGGTCCTTGACTGTTGGCTTGTTACATTTGTGACAGGATGACCTTGACTACTGATTCCAGTTATTGACAAAAGGTATGACGTAACCTAAATTTTCTATTTCCTCCTAAACCTGCTCTAAGGATAGATATTTTTCTAGGCAGTGCCTATTACAACAAATTTTAAAATGCATTAGCACTGAGTTGTCCAATTATTCCCGTACTTAGCACCCATGTTGTATATGGCAAGTACAAAGGAGCCCACATTATGTACTCCCAACCCCCATGATGTAAGCTGTTATAGCACAGTGCCAAACTGAGGCCACTGCTAGAGTGCGTCCTGTTCTAGGTACTAGTAACCACTGCACATCTCCATGTGTGAGGCTCTGCCATCATTGCACCAAGCTAAAACAGGTAGTTGGAGCCCCTGAGCCCCAATTACTCAAAACCTAGACCCACGGCTCGGTGCCTGTGGCTCAATCGGCTAAGGTGCCAGTCACATACACCTAAGGTGGCGGGTTCAAATCCCCAGCCTGGGCCCACCAAACAACAGTGATGGCTACAACCAAAAAATGGCCGGCGCTGTGGCAGGCGCCTGTGGTCCCAGCTACTTGGGAGGCTGAGGCAGGAGACTCGCTTGAGCCCAGGAGTTGGAGGTTGCTGTGAGCTGTGAGGCCATGGCACTCTACCTGGGGGAATAGCTTGAGGCTCCGTCTCAAAAAAAAAAAAAAAAAAAAAACTAGACCAAGAAGAAAGGCTCTTACCAGTGTAAGAGCACATGGCTCTCTGCCCCACAAGGAACAATTGGTCCTGCACAGTTTGGAAACCAACCATGGAAGCAAACCTACCACACACACACACATACACACCCTTGACATGAGAACCAGCCCAAAAGCCTCCACACACCCCCTCTTCAAAGCTATACCACCACTGCCTCAAATTCCCATAGCCCAGGACACCAAGACACTCACAAACATCACTGATACGGCTTAAGCTGAAAAAGTGCATGGAGGATGCAGTTGACTGTGACCACCCAGAAATAAAATCAATGTACCCTCACCACCAACACAATAAAACATATCTAACAGAAAATTCTTTCCACAAAATATACTCTATATATTTTAAAAGGTGACTGTTTCAACAGAAGCACAGATTATCAGTATAAGGATACAAGAAATATGAACAACAACAACAAAAACTGTACTAAAGAAACACAATAATTCTCTAATTATAACTCCCCTGCCAAAAAAAATTCATGGACTACCTGAAAGGAAATCCAAATTAATTTTTTAGGAAAGTCAGAGTGGTAAGAGAAAATATAGATAAATAATTCAATAAAATAAAGACTATAATTCATGATCTAATTTTAAAACTCAATAAAGATATGGATACTATAAAAAAGAACTATACAGAAATCTTGGACATGAAAAATTCAACCAACAATATAAAAAACACAACTGAGAACTTCAACAACAGACAAGATCAAGTAGAAGAAAGAAACTCTGAACTTGAATACAGGTCTGTTGAAATAATGCAATCAGAGGGAATGCAATGTAATATGATATGATATGATACAGTGCAACAAATGAAAAAAGCTTACATGACTTATGAGACACCAACAAGTGAACAAATTTTTCATTATGGGAATCCCAGAGAGAGAAGAGTTGGAAAACGATTTAACTAAATAATATCTGAAAACTTCCCAAGTCTTGGGAGAAACAGAGACATCCAGATCCAGGAAGCTTAAGGATCTCAAAATAAATTCAAACCAAAAAGACACTCTCCAAGGCTCATTATAATCAAACTATCAAAAGGCAAAGAGAGAATTCTAAAAGCAGCAAGAGAAAAGCATGAAGTCACATTTCAGAGAATGATCATTAGACTATCAACAGACTTCTCAGCAGAAAGTGCTGGAGACCAGGAGAAAATGGGATGGCACATTCAAAAGGCTAAGTGGGATAAAACAAAACTGCCAGCCAAGAATACTATAGCAAACCAATCCTTCACAAATGAAGGAAAAATAAATTCTTTCCCATTCTTTCAGTAAAGTTGTTGGCTACAATAATCAATATACAAACATTAGTAGTGTTTCTATACGCTAATAGTGATCTAAAACCAATAAAATATCTCATTTGTAATCGTTATTTAAAAAAAAAAAGATATCTAGGAACAAATTTAGCCAAGGAGGTAAAAGATCTCCACACTGAAAATTAGAAGATATTCATGAAAAATATTGAAAAATTTCCCATATTCATGGACTGGAAAAAGTAATTTTATTAAAATGTCAATAGTACCCAAAGTAATCTATATAATCCCTATCAAAATACCAATGATATTCTTCAGAGAAATAGAAACAGACAATCCTAAAATTCATATAAAACCCAAAAGACACCAAATACCCAAAGCAATCTTGGGAAAAAAAAAAGCTGGAGGCATCATAGGACCTGACTTCAAAATATACCACAATGCAATAGTAACCAAAACTGTATATTACTACCATGAAAACAGACACATAGACCAATGGGCAGAATAGAGAACCCAAAAATAAATCCCATATCTACAGTCAACTGATTTTTTGGCAAAGATACAAAGAATACACATTGAGGAAAAGACAATTTCTTCAATAAATAGTGCTGGGAATATTTTATATCCACATACAAAAAAATAAAACTAAACCCCTATCTTACACCATATACAAAAAAAAAAAAATTCACTCAAAATGGATTAAAGACTTTAATGTAAGACCCAAAACTATGAAATTACTAGCAGAAAATATAGGGGAAATGGCATGTGACAATAAACTAAACAAAAGTAGTTAACAGGAAGGTATCATATAATCCCAAAATAGCTAGA